CGACGGGGGACACTGCCCGTACTTGGATCAGTGCGTGCTCTTCAACAACGAGCCGGCCGACATCTTGGCCTGGTTCAAGGAAGACTTCAGTCGCCACTACGACCAGAACCGCGCTCCCTACATCCTCTCCTTCCACACTAACTGGTTCAACGAGCAGAACCTCATCGACGGACTCAACTTATTCCTGCAGTGGGTTAGCCAAAAGTGAGTGGCTTTTTGGTCGCTGGCCACACGTCCGCGGTACTCTTGTTGCTCAGCTGTGTCGGATGACATCAGCTCGATTTAGGGCCGCCACGGACTGTGTGGTTCGGCCTCGTGTTCGCAAGCAGCTTCACCTGCGAACTTTTGTTATCCACTGAATGATCAACTCCCTTAACAACATATCATTCCCGTTTTAACTTCTTTCGCTACCGCATATCCCATTGACAAAATGAAAAAAATGAACAGCGCCAGCATTAACGAGACTTTTTTACTCATGGAGGACTGTCACATCAATTGCCTTTCTTTGCCACCTGGGTAGTAGTTGTGACCGAAACTCTTAAACTGTTGTCAAGATTTGCGTACCGACGCTTGAGGAAACGCTTAATAATGCTCTGCCCATTGTCTAAGTTCCTGGCCCGCGCAATAATAATGCAGCAGCTCCCGCCCCCCCCCCCCCCCTTGGCCCCCACCCCGATGACCCCCCGTTGACACGCTGTCCGATCGTCGCCATCAGGGACGACGTCTGGTTCGTGACGATGACGCAGGCGCTCTTCTGGATGTCGGACCCGGTGCCGCTCAATCAGCTGACGCAGCTGGACGACTGGGACTGCCGCAAGCGGCAGAACACGCCGGCGCCGGCCTGCAACCGGCCCAACACGTGCCGCGTGCTCTTCAAGCCGCCTAAGGACGTGGACCCGTCCTGGTTGCCGGGCACGAGGTAAGTAGCACCTGCCGGGTCATGGTCTCGACGCTGGGCTGAGACGGGCGCGCCGTGTCTGACGGCAGCGAGGGGGCGGCTCGTTGCATCATGTTTCCGTGGGACATTCTTGGGTCGGTTCGACGTTGACCAGTCCTGCCGTTTGCAAGTGATCCGCCAGGCATCACGATTCACAGATAGCGTCGCAGTATTTTAGTGTTTTTTGCTGCCGGGTCAGTTACGGCGAGAGTTTGAACAATTCCTTAACTGCCACGCCTTCACCTCGCTGGCACACGCGGCGATGTCGGTCTGTACCATGTACCATGTCTAAAGCCGTACCATGTCGGTCTGTACCATGTACCATGTCGAAAGCCGTACCATGTCGGTCTGTACTATGTACCATGTCGAAAGCCGTACCATGTCGGTCTGTACCATGTACCATGTCGAAAGCCGTGCCATGTCGGTCTGTACCATGTCGAAAGCCGTACCATGTCGGTCTGTACCATGTCGAAAGCCGTACCATGTCGGTCTGTACCATGTCGAAAGCCTTACCATGTCGGTCTGTACTGACCATGTCGAAAGCCGTACCATGTCGGTCCGTACCATGTACCATGTCGAAAGCCGTACCATGTCGGTCTGTACCATGTCGAAAGCCGTAGCAGCGGCGCTTCTAACCAACTGCGGCCGGCCCTAAACCGGCACATGCATACGTGGGTTCGTGCCGGCACGGGCCGGTTCATGGCTCAGTTTTGCACATTTAATGGATATGTCTGAAGTTTGTAATGCCGAACCACCATCACGTACGTTTTGAAGTGCATTTGCGAGGAACATTACTCACATAGATAAGACGGTAGTAATAGCGTTATTCCTCGGAGAAAAAACAGGAGAATGGAGAGACTACTTCTGCTTCTGGTACATCCATTGTGATATTCATATATATATATATATATATATATATATATATATATATATATATATATATATATGTGTGTGTGTGTGTGTGTAGATACATACTTCTGGTAAACAGAGACAATTTACTTCTGTTATTATTTCAATAAAGGCCGGTTGCCTAAATATCACCGCGTCTATGTCTCCATTTTCCTTTTTTTCTCCAAGTAATAAGGCCATTGCGACTGTCCTATGTGACCCATCATCTGTGAAGGTGCCAATGGTGTGCCGATTTAAGGTGTTTCTTTCTTTCCAGGTACATGACCACGTGCTTGAGCTGTCCCAAGCAGTATCCCTGGCTGTACGACTTCGAGGGCAATGGTGGCGAAGACGACTTCTATGAGCCTCCGGTGTACGAAAAATAGAAACAAGACAGCGTTTTTAGGGATTCGTAAGGCTGATGTCGCGACCAAATAGCCAGTCACAGTCGTTCATTAGACCTCTCCCGTATGACGGATGGATGCCCATCAATATATATATATATATATATATATATATATATATATATATATATATATATATATATATATTGTTACAGCCGTCCGGAGGGAATAGCCGTTGCGGCTGGACATCTGTTCACCAGTCAGTGGTTGGTCGCTTTGGCTTACGGCAGCATGGTGTTCGTTGCAATACAATGGCGGCAGTAAAATCAAACGCAGCTTGTTTTAATAACCATTAAGTGGGTATCTTGAGCAGAGCATTTGGTAGAATTTACTACCTTTTGGCGCACGTGTAAGCAAATATGCCCTCACTTGTCGGGTGTATACGGAAGCCGATTAGCGCTGCAACACTTGTTTTCCGTTTCGTTCAATGACACACGTTTGGGATGTCCGGCCGATGTGGCCCGGATTTTCTTTGCACCATAGTGCTGCTCAGCACGGAGCCAGAGGTAACGGTTGTCCGTTTATCTTGGCCAACGAGATCCATCTTCGTAACGCGAGGAGAGATCAGAGGTTACTTCAAAATGTGCGGCTTTGTGGATCTGAAGCAGTGGGTCTGCCAACTCACAAGCGGAGAGAGAACATTCTGAACATAGCGCTATCCCGACGCATGCCGTCATAGGTCATGTGCAAGACGGTCTTCTGAAGTCAGACCACAAGCGAGGAGAGAACATTCTGAACATAGCGCTATCCCGACGCATGCCGTCATAGGTCGATGTGCAAGACGGTCTTCTGAAGTCAGACCACAAGCGAGGAGAGAACATTCTGGACCTAGTGCTATCCCGACGCGTGCTGTCATAGGTCGATGTGCAAGACGGTCTTCTGAACCCAGACCACAAGCGGAGAGAGAACATTCGGGACCTAGCGCTATCCCGACACATGCCGTCATAGGTCGATGTGCAAGACGATCTTCTGAACTCAGACCACAAGAACACCACCGCCAAACTCAATGCACCGGTAAGCAGTCGGCCTATTGGCGCACTGCGTTCAACCACAAGAGGGCTGGCTTCGACAGTCTGCGCCGGAATCCTTCTCCGATCCCATGGGGGCTGATGGACGACGTCCGGAGTTGACCAAGCATTTGGCACCTCCTGCAAACTGCTTGAGTCGGCCACCGCCACCCACATCTCCACGGTGATCCTCCGGCGCCGACCGCCCCTCCCCCCCCCTGGTTCGACGGTGCGGTGCTAGCTGCTCTTCGGCTGAAAGAGGCAGCTTTCCGACGACTGCGGGGAAACCCCGGTGCAGTAACCGCCGTTGGGTGTGCGGACAGGAAATGTTTTTTAAAGCCCGTGTCCAAATCCAAGTGCTCTCAATATTTACATTAAATCATCGACGATTTCAAGATTAGTCCCAGGTGGTGTCGGCCGTTTTTTAATGTGTCGCGAAGTCATGCATTTCACCAGTCTTACATAACTTGTTACGTGAACTTGTGAGGAACATTATTCCATACATTAGACAGCAGTAGCAGCTGTATTCCTTTGAGAAAAACCAGTAGAATAAAGACATAGATGCGTTGATATTTCAGCGGCATTCTTTTATCTTCTGCTATTTGTTTCGAAAAAGGCATGTTGTCAAAAAAAATCAACGCATCTATACCTCCATTCCCCTGGTTTTTCTCCGAGGGACAGGGAAGTACTGCTGTCTCATCTATATCACCAGTGTTGTATGACTTTGAGCGGACTCTCGTATCGGATGTCATGGGTGGCGCTGCCGTGTTGCGTGGCGCCTTTGCTCTGAAATCTGCTAATCTTCGTGTGCAAAATCCTCCAGCTTCGCCCTGCTACCAGTCGAGTCACTGAGCCAGCCGCGAGTCTCTGAGCCAGCCGCGAGTCACTGAGCCAGCCGCGAGTCTCTGAGGCAGTCGTGCGATACGCAATAGCTAAGTTTGGTCCCAAAAGGTCTGTGAGACTGGCAATATCAGTGCCCCCATAATCACCGAGTGCGCGGACGAGTCAGTTGCTCCGCTCACCAATATTTGTACCCTCTCGATGAGCTCTGGTGTCTTCCCGGGAAGGTGGAGGCAGGCAAACATTGTACCAATTTTCAAGAAAGGGACACAAAGCAGCCGTCAAATTGTATGGGCAAATCCCTGCTCCCTGCGTTCGGGAACAAAACTGGAGCGGGCTGCGTATGATGTGCTGTCCCGCCACGTCCCACCAGTGTCTTCCATCAGCATGTCTTTTCCCTTGGCGCTTGTGCAGCACGAACTTATGTGTTTAACCTTCAGTCGGATCGGGCGGGCATGTCTGACGGATACCCGGCGGATACCATTTACCATGATTATTCGGCTGTTTTTCGGAGCATTAACTGTGAGCTCCTGATCCACAAGCTAAAATTCACAGAGTTTGAGGGAATCTGTATCACAACGGTTTTGTCTCGTATCTGTCCGACAAACGGCAGAGGGTTATCATGAACCGAAAAACGTCTCATTGGAAAGTGGTGGCCTCCGGTGTTCCGGAAGAATTACTCTCGGCCTCCCTCACTCCTCTTTCACTGTTCATGGACGATCTTTCGTGCGTCATTCAATCAAGGTGCCTTTTGTGCACCGATGATAAAATAAGAATATGATAAAAATATGATGATAAAAAATATCCGCAGAACTACGCCCCCAGCAGACGGCCTGTTGCTGCAGAAGTACCTGGATCATCTGCTAACGTGGTCGGTCAGGTGGAGGCTGAATTTCAATCCTGTAAAGTGTAAGACATTCAGTACGACCCTTAGTCGTGCTCCCGTCAAGAGCAAGCATTTTATCGATAGAACTGAGCTTGAACATAGGTGTTGAATTAGGGACCTTGGCATAACAGTGAATACAAAGCTAACTTCTGCTTCTAACTTATGCCTCTGACATAATCAGTACGGGCGATCAAGCACTTGGTCTCTTTATTCAGTCCTTCCAAGCTGGCACCAGCAGGCCAAAGATCAGCCGAAGCGCAGTGATGGCTGCGCATTTTGTAACTGTGCGATCAGATTTAGAATATTCTAGCGTGGTCTGGGCAGAAGGGGGAGATTGGTGGAAACCCCCTCACAGCGCGGGTCAATCAAGTGCAGGCGCAAGTTTCTGCCTTGGCTACACAGCCACGCAATTTTCGAGCAAACAGTTTCTCTTTCTTGTGAAAGCTTTCCGTTTCATTTCAAATCCCTTCCCGGGCAGCACGAAGAGTGCGGCACGATTTACTCGCTCTGGCAAGCATCTTGTAAGGAAACGCGAACTCTCAAATCCTGCCCAGCAGTTTCCCCCGGCCTCGGCTGCCTCGAGCGGCCCACACCCAAACTCTGTTCGCTGTATTTCGCACGTGTGCAGACAGTACAGCGCGGCTTGTTTTGCAGACTGCCAAGCCTTGTGAACACTTTCAGCTAGCAACAAAAGCGTGGATATCTTTCAGGACAGTTTGGTCATTTTTTAAGACTTCATGTTATCACGTATGTTACAGCTCTGTAGCGTCTTCACTTAGCTTTGATACGTGCTATTCATTATCTATGTTCTTACCACGGTGTGATGTGTGTTTGTTGCATTCTATTGAAAGTACTTTGCACGTAAGGGGAGCTCTGCTCCGTTGGCAAAAACAAATTATTAGGTCTACGTTCGCGAGGAGCAACATTTTGCTCCTACGGGAGAAGTTTCTGATATACGAGTCTGAGCTGAATCTTAAGATAGAGTGAAGTCTGAGGATACAGTCAGGAAAAAAATCAAACGGTATCGCAAAGGTTAACTGCGTCATCATGAAAAAAAAACAACAATTGAAATCCATCCGAAAGATGATGCCGTATCTCGGCACCGACATCATATCTACACGGTAGGTTCTGAAGAACAGCTTCGAACTACTTCCTTGTAGAGTGGTCATCCACCAGAAGCTTGCAGAAGTCGACAGATCACAGCGAGTAGCTTTTTCCAGCCTTGCTGAAGACGGAGACTGAGGGCGACCATGGGTTTCCACACCGTATCTGGTGCAGTGACGCGACTACATCCACCCGAAGGGGGCGCTTCGTCAGATGGGCCCAATCGGCTGTGACTGGGCCTGGGAGCTGCCTGACACTGCGCTAGGGGGCCCGCTGCACACCCCGCGAGTGACAGCGCGACGCACCATGAGCCCCAGTGACCTTAAGGCCCTTCTCTCCAAAGGCGTGGATCGGACGGATCCACGGCCAAGGTTAACGAGTGGTACGCTGGTATGCCGAAGCGCCTCTGGAGGCAGCTGGCGCAAGACCCTGACAGCAAAAGGGAGAACGTCTGGTTGCAGTATGAAGTGGCGACATAGCGTCAACTATCAAGTATTAATTGTTCATTATGTGTTTCGCTGAAAGTGTGCATGGCGTTAGTGACGGTTCTTTTTCAGCTTTCCAGCGAGAGGGAGAGAGAGAGAGGGAGGGAGGGAGAGAGAGAGAGAGAGAGAGAGAGAGAGAGAGAGAGAGAGAGAGAGAGAGAGAGAGAGAGAGAGAGAGAGAGAGAGAGAGAGAGAGAGAGAGAGAGAGTAGAGAGAGAGAGAAGAGAGCGAGAGAGAGAGAGAGGAGAGAGAGAGAGAGAGAGGGAGAGAGAAGAGGAGAGAGAGAGAGAGATATCTATCTCGCTCTCTCTCTCTCTCTCTCTCTCTCTCTCTCTCGCTCTCTGTCTCTCTCTCTGCTCGCTCTCTCATCTCTCTCGCTCTCTCTCTCTGAGAAATATAGATATCTATAGAGAGAGAGAGAGAGAGAGAGAGAGAGAGAGAGAGAGACTACATCACAAATACATGTGAATATTGTGCCGTGAATATTTCTTTTACATGTTGACATGCTGAAAGTCTGTGTGCTCAAGTGTTTGTGCCGATGGGTGGCCATTTGTACACTAGTGCTCTTAAGCAAAGTGTGTCTAGCGTTGTTCCACCATTCTTTTTCTGTCAGAGGTCTCCACTGCTGTTTCTGAAGAAATTTACGGGCCTTGCAGGAGTTGCAAGCCACGCCAGAAGCACTGACTGTTCGTCAGCAAAGCTTTCTATTTTCGCTGGCTGAAATGCGCGTGGGTCTTACCGAACCAATGAGGCAAACAAGCGGACCTGCAGGTGCATACGCCGAACCTGCCTGGCCTAACGTCGAACAGACGTGGCGCTGACAGGCAGCCGTACTGCTTTCCGGCCGCGCGGCTCGAGCGGAGGTCGGCGTCGGGGCCGGCCGAGCCGCCGCTCCGCGCTGGCGCTCCCGATAGGCAGGCCAACAGTCGGGGGCGGATGCGGGATCTCG